ATTATTTAAGTGCATACATATTATGTAAAAGTTGAAAACAATAAGATTGGAAAATAACTGCGAGAGATCTATGCAAACAGGGCTGTCAGATGGGATACAAGAGAGAGTTTGGCAAAATAATCTTTCATAGAATTTATCTTGTTATTAGAACCTGACTTACCCATGCAAAGTGAGACAGAGAAAGGTTTCTGCAAAGAGAGGGAGGCATGTAAGAGGCACTTGAGACATGAAAACTCAACCAGATCATAAAGGTCTTTAAAAGCCATACCGAGCAAAGTGAGTTATATTCTGAAGTTAATAGGGGTTCTTTGAAGGGACACAGAGATTCTGACCCTCAAAACTATGACTTAGCTCGCTTATTGCATGAGGTTGTGTCAGTATGAGTGTGAACTCTTTGGATAATTTTATACAAATCTGTTGAAAAATATTTGATTTTTATTTTAAAAATTGCATGAAGTAGACACTCATATGTGCAGTTTCTGTTTTTAACCTATTCATATTGTTTTTCTACCTACTCTTAAGAGATAAAATAATTAAAATATTAACTGGATGACTGTGGGAAGGTTTTGGAGAACTATTAGTTTTTCCTTTATTTTTAAGATGCTGCCATCTAGTGAAACTTCTGTAAAATCACTTTGTGGTGATCTTCAAGTTTGTATCTTCAGGTCCTTTCCTCAAAAACGGTTCCATTTTAATAATTTATGTTTCTGCCATCCATGGGGAAAGAATTGTCCATACATTACAACATATTGTAAGAGCCTCAAGTGACTTTTTTATGTGTCACCACAGAAGTGACTACAGGGCTCTTAATGATGGGAAAATGGTAGGTGAAGTTTGCTTGTTTCTTCATTGTGACACTCTTTATAAATAATTGATAATAAAATAAAAATGCTGCCTTTTCTATTACTTAAGTTTTTGAAGAAAAGTTGAGTTTTAAAAATAGATATATAAAATGAATTGTAAATATTGTTTCACAAAAAATTGATCTTAATTAGAAATATTGGCAAGAAAAGAGAGGATTTCAAGTTCAGAACTTTTATTTTTTTCCAAATTTAATTTCAGTATTAAAATATATCTTAACATACAAACAGACAAATCTGTGTGTGTGTGTGTGTACTGAATTTAAACATTAGTCTGCAAACCCAGATTTTGATCACCTCTAAATCTGGATAGAGATTAATTATATTTCTTTTCTGTCCTCAAAATTTATGACATGAATTGCCCTTTCTTTCTTTTCCTGAGAGAAACAAAGTACAAATCCATCCCCTCCCCCAAAACAAAACAAAAATAACTTTTTTTCTATGAGATACTAGTTCTGGCCACATTATACTGCATAAAGTTTCTAATTGACTCTTCAATATATTGAGTTTTCTTTATGAAACTAATTCTATATGTTAGAGGTCAGCGAATCTTTTCTTTAATGAGCAAGATAGTAAATATTTGAGACTTGTGACCCATATGGTCTCTGTTGAAACCACTCACTTCTGCTTGCAAAAATGAGCAGAGGTCATAGACAAAATTTATAGTCATAGACAAAATTTAAACAGTGAGGGGCATCTGGGTGGCTTAGTTGATTAAGCATCTGACTTTGGCTCAGGTCATGATCCCCTGGTTCATGAGTTGGAGCCCCACATCGGGCTCTGTGATCATAGCTCAGAGCCTGGAGCCTACTTTGGCTCCTCTGCCTCCCTTTGTCTTCGTTCCTCCCTAACTCATGCTGTCTCTCTCTCTCTCAAAAATAAATAAACATTTTTAAAAAATTAAAAAAAAATAAATGAAACTAATTTTGTTCAAATATAACATTATCTGTTAAAAACAGGTCATAGTTTGCATCCCTCTGTCCTGGGAAAGGACCTGTAATAGCAGTTTGAGGTTATTCTTTTTCAAAATTAATTTACTTATTTTGAGAGAGAGAGAGACCAGAGGAGAGCTAGAGAGAAAGGGAGAGAGAGAATCCCAAGCAGGTTCCATGCCGTCAACAAGGACTGAGACGAAGCGCTCAATCCCATGAACAGTGAGATCATGACCTGAGCCAAAACCAAGAGTTGGTCACTTAACTGACTGAGCCACCAAAGCTCCCCATAATTAGTTATTCTTAGAGCAATCTAAAATTGGTCCCTCTGAAATTATTTACTTCAATAATTTCAATAGATAGATGTATTTCTTCAAAGTTGAAGGAAATCTAAAGTCTTGAAAATATAATTATTATATATGTACTTAGTAAGCAAAAAATAAAAAAAACATTTTTGCAAAGTGAGCTAGCACTCCCATTTAATGATCAGGATTTTTTTTTTTTTAAATTCATGTTTATGTACAAAATTACCTTAATGTGGAATGAATCACTATACTCTCAAAGCAAAACCTTTAACATTTTCATTTACAGGAAGTTAAAGGTTTTAATGTTAAGCTGTTAAAATGAATTTGGTACTTGAATACAGCTTGGGTAATAGAAGTCATTGCTTCAGGTTTTCCTTCCCAGAACTCAGTAGAAACAGAGGGTTAGTTTCTAAAACAGTGAATTCTTCTAGGGCTGACATAGAAAACACTTGGACCGTGTAAACAAAACAAAATAAAGTCAGATAGTAAGAGGCTGTTAGGGTCTCAAGAACATGTATAGGGAGAACACAGTGCAGAGTCATATAAACAGTGTCATTTTTGTTGGTCACCTTTGTGTCAGCTCATCTAGGTATTACTTAGTCATAGATCCTGCCAGTCTCATCTGAACCTACTCATGCATCCCTGGTCAAGGAGAGGTGGGGACAGCAGCTGACCCAAGCTGAGCTCAGGTGAGGATGACTCTGATCCACATTTCTTTCATCTTTCATCTTCTATCTGAGCCAGCATTTTGGCTAAGCAGGTCCTTGTTACAGAGACGGCAGCGAGCAAGTGAAAAAAAGTCTAATCTAATCATTCTGGTGCTTTTGGACTCTCCTTGTATTACATGTGCTAACATTCCATTGATCAAGATGTCACTTGTTTAATCCCAGTGGCAGAGAATTACATCCTGTCCAGAGTGGGAAGAACTGAAAAATTACATGACAAGGAAATGGATATAAGGATGGACAAAGAATGGAAACCATTAAGGCAATTTATAATATCATATATGTACTTGAATTAATTAAATTAAGTGTGGGCATGATGTGGGATTCAGCAACAAACTGAAAACTACTATTAACTCCATCAGACTTACAGTAGGATATACTAAAGTAGAGGTTCTCAAACTTTTAAATTATTTATTTTAAAAAAAAAAATTTTTTTTAATGTTTTATTTATTTCTAGGAGAGAGAGAGAGACAGCGTGAGCAGGGGAGGGTCAGAGAGAGAGGGAGTCACAGACTGAAACAGGCTCCAGGCTCTGAGCTGGCAGTCAGCACAGGGCCCGACGCGGGGCTCGAACCCACGAACCGCGAGATCATAACCTAAGCGAAAGTCGGACGCTTAACCGACTAAGCCACCCAGGCGCCCCAACTTTTAAATTATTTTTAAATGTTTATTTGTTTTTGCTAGAGAGAAAGAGAGAGTGTGTGAATGGAGGAGGGCAGAGAGAGAGGGAAACAGAATCCAAAGCAGGTTCCAGGCTCTGAACTATCAGCACAGAGCCTGACACGGAGCTCAAACTCATGAACAGCAAGATCATGACCTAAGTCGAAGTCAGATGCTTAACTGACTGAGCCACCCAGGCACCCCATGGTTCATATTTTCCAATCAACTATATATTTCATTATATATTATTAATATATATTTTATTATATATTAATATTATTAATATATATTTTATTATATTAATATTATTAATATATATTTTATTATATATTAATATTATTAATATATATTTTATTATATATTAATATTATTAATATATATTTTATTATATATTAATATTATTAATATATATTTTATTATATATTAATATTATTAATATATATTTTATTATATATTAATTTAAACAGTACATATTACTACTAAACTTATTAGAAATATCTAAAGTATTGGGAAGTGGTCCTACTCATAGAAGTAGATACAAGTTTTCAAAATCCTAAATTCTCTTGGAAACTTTTTTCATTGGCAACAAATACTATACCTTGTTTTCCTTGAATTGGCAGACTCACTTCATTCATTTTCAAAAGAATGTCTGTCAAATACCCAAGTATGAATTACTGTTGTTTGTCTCTTGGTTGCTTTTTCGTGCAAAAAAATTGTTCTCTGTGGGGTAAGGTGGCTAGTTCAGCTTGCAGCTCAAAGAATTGCACATGTGAATTACTGTGAGGCAACCCTCTTACTTGAGAATGTGGTCAAATGTTTTAGGCATACTTCCCATGTTAAACCTTAAAAATATGAGAATTAAGGCATTGAGATTTAAAACACCTTTATCATTTTTACAGATGTCTCAAGAAAATTTTTTAAAATGTTTATTTACTTCTTGAGAGAGAGACAGAGAGACAGAGACAGAGAATGAGCAGGGGAGGGGCAGAGAGAGAGGGAGAGAGAGAATCGGAGGCAGGCTCCATGCTCAGCCCAGAGCCTGACACGGGGCTCCATTTCATGACTGCAAAATCACAACCTGAGCCTGTGTCAAGAGTCAGGCACTTAAACAACTGAGCCACCCAGGCATCCTTCTCAAGGAGATTTTTAAGCAACATTATCTTCTTATTTCCCCCTGCAACTGAATGGTATTGACATATAGTGACTGCTAGTATAATCTGGTGCCACTTCCTTGATTAAAATAACTTGCCAGCAATTTTCTCCTGTTTTTGAATTATTATTGCAAATGTCAACACAATGAAGAAGGCAAAGAATGTCTTCATATTATGAAAACTATTTTGACCTAAAAGGATCTTGGGAATGCCCAGTGTTTTGTGGTTTACACATTGTGAACCATTGCACCAAAGGATAAACTGTATTTATAGTACAGCAGTCTGTCAAAGACTTTCTTAGAGATATTTGTACTTATTTTTCTAATCATTGAGCAAATTCAAAACTTGTTATTATGTTCTTCCCTAGGGTTGTTTTGTTGGCTTTGATCTAGCACATGCAGTTGGAAATGTCGAACTCCACTTACATGACTGGGGAGTTGATTTTGCCTGCTGGTGCTCCTACAAGGTACAAATTAGTGAATATGTTCGTATCCTTTTATTACACATTGATCTAAATGAACAGCTAGATCGGTGGCCAGTTTTAACTGTTTGATTTACTTTCCTCCGATTCTTTTGTTACTTTTTTTCCCTGACTTTAGTTAATTATAAAGTTATATAATAGTATAATAAATAATTAAAATCAGGTATTTCCATCTGCTATAGAGTACTTATTCCTTTAATTACCTGGATACTATAGAAATCAGAAGATTTAGGGAAAAAGCTCCACACTTAGAACTTAATTCAAATTGATTATGTTCTTAGGTTTTTGGTCATCTGTTGTGACATTTCTACATATGTAAAGATAATTTTTATGGAATCTGAAGCAGGCTCTAAGCTCTGAACTGTCAGCACAGAGCCTGATGCAGGGTTTGAATCCACAGACCGCAAAATCATGACCTGAGCCGAAGTCAGATGCTTAATCGACTGAGCCACCCAGACTCCCCAACTTCGGTGTTTTTGAAAGATGATGCTTTATTATTATTTAAATATTTTTGTAACAAAATAATTGAAAAGAATAGGCTTTAAAATTAGATAGACTTCATTGAAACTGTTATCTATTAGTTGGGGCAAAATATGGCCAAAAATATTATAGGTATCTAGTCTCAATGAATAATCCTTGTGTTTATTTTGTTTTTTTGAGCAAGGTAATGCAAAATTCCATTTTATTATAAAAGGTCAAATAATCACACATTTTGAGCTGGTCAGACATTGGTTTCATAACAAAAAGTCAAATGATTTTATTGTTTATTTTTATCATAGGCTCACACAATTTTATTTCTTTTCAATCCAGTATTTAAACTCAGGAGCAGGGGGCCTTGCGGGTGCCTTTGTCCATGAAAAACATGCTCATACAATTAAACCTGCGTGAGTACCACCTTCAGGTTTGGTGATGAATAAATTAATTTGCATTAGTGATACGCAAAATTTACATGAGCTCTTTAAGGTGCTATCCAATAAGAATCTAGACTGATTATAATTATATTACCACTCTATTAACAACGATGCGCTTTATCAGAAATAAATGCTTTTTGAAGAGTTCAATTGGTTGAACATGAAATTGGATCACAAAAATGGAAGCTTCGCTGCTAAAAATGAGTCACTGTAATCATGTAGAGCAGATGGTTTAATGCAAAAAGACGACTTATTTTTTTTTCAAAATTAGACTTCAGAAAATTTCTGATTCCTCACATTGATGAATAAATCAAAGGCAACCAGAGCTGTGCCTAATAGAGCCTTAAATGTGGTATGTTATTATTAAAATTACATCTACCTTTAAAGCTAGAAACATTATATGATGGTTTTGTGAGGATTATCTTCTGTCCTAAAAGATTTTATAATCCATGAAAACTGAGGAAGCTGAACACTGAACAACATGGACTGCATAAAAAGCAATACTTTCCTACTTTATATAACTTTCTCCTTTTTTAGAGCAAGCATAAATGCAAATGTGATACATTAACAAATTTATACATTTTTATTTGACTGGGGAACTTGTAAGTTTGTTTTTATCTATATGGAGATAAATAATATTCTGAAAAAACTCGTTCACAGTTTTGTGTCCAAGCATGTGTGATGAGGAGACTGTCTAGACTCATAATAGGTAATATAATAATGTTTGATTAGTTTTCTGAATCCTCTCAGCCACTAGCTGAGTGGTGTAATCTTTACAAGAATTGAAGCTGAATTAGTAATAAAACTTGGAGCACCTCACATTTCTGAGGGTCTACGCATATAAATCCAAGAAATTGAAGATGATTTTCTACAGTTCATTTAATCATGTCTAAAATTTCTTCAAGATTTTAAAGTTTTAAAATTAAATAGAGCATTTTCTTTAGACAGGTATTTTGTCAGGCAGACGTCTTCCACAAATATATTACTGGTATATTAGATTTCTCCCCATGCCCCAAATTCTCTGAAAAGAGTATAAAGCATTATTATGTTACAGGAATACTATGCATTTTTAAAAAGATCTCTTTTTCATTTTTAGCAAAACTCATTGAAAGTGTTTTACCTAGCATAATTGTTTTCCCTGTGGACAGTATATAAGATACTGCTTGCTTTTGTGTGAAGACTAAGTACTCTGATCATTTTCCACTCCCCACTTATTTAAATTGTAATAGACGATCTGGCATATTATACCAATCCAAAGACAAGTTGGTGGGGGTGGTGAGGGATATGTTAAATAATCTACACAAATTCTCAAGAATTTAAGGGTTAGCAGCTAAGCTCTGATCTTACAGCATATGTCTGTTGCACTTGAAATTTCTTTTGTCATTATTTGCCCTTCATGGATGAGAAACAGGAGAAGGTAAAGCGGCTGTAGTGTCCTCACATGCACTTCATCTTGTAACATCCCAACATCCTCTAGAACACTGTAATTGTTAAATCTTTGGTCGCAGGAGAAAGACTATAGAGACCAATCAAATTCACATTCCAGCATGATCACTCACTGGTCCACAACCTAAAGAATGTTCCTTGACCTCTCAGTGTTCTAGCCTCTAAATAAAGATAATATCAGCATCTACCTCATAGACAATGGTTTTGAGAATAAAATGAGATGGTGTATGTAAAGCACTAAGCACAGTTTTGTAAGAATCACATGTTGTCCATACTTCTAAATACTTTGTCGCTTCACTGGGAAGTTGTAGGTTAACCCTTAGACTTTTGAGTAGCAGTGATCATTCTCTCAAGTAGAAAACATATCCTCAGAGGCTGTGGTTTGTAATCTTTAGAATATGACACTGTTTTTGGTTGGGCATCTGACTTCGGCTCAGGTCATGATTTCATGGTTATGGAGTTTGGGAGTTTGAGTCCCTCATTGGGTTCTGTGCTGACAGCTTAAGGCCTGGAGCCTGCTTCAGATTCTGTCTGTCTGTCTGTCTCTCTCTCAAGAATAAATAAACATTTGAAAAAAAAAAAAAAAGGAAAGGACAGGACATAGTTTTGTATCAGTTACCAAGTTCACTTCAGCAGGCCTTTGAAAAACTGACTCTGTAAGTCTCTCTTCCTTGAATGCTCTTTTACAGGCCTTGCCATCTTACTGGTTCCTCGCCAATTAGTGAGTTGAATGAGATCTATATGCATCTTCACTTCATATTTATATGAGAGACATGCTTTTAACATTTTGAAAATTATATGTTATTATCTCTTGTTACATTTTAACCATCTGGCTTTGGAGAATGACAAGACTCAAATCGGGCTTGACTCGTGAAGCTCTTTACAGGAAACCCTGGTTGTTGTTGTTGTTGTCTGTGTGTTTGTTGTTAAAGCTTCTTTTTATGTCATGTCAGAATGACTAATTCCAATGGTGCCAAATTCCACCCAATAGTGGAATATAACTGCTATTGATGCATCAAACTTTGTGAAGCCAACTCTTGCTTTTTTAAAGGGTGACATCTAGTGGCTAAGCATGTTATTTCAAAGAAATAGTATACAAGTGGTATTTCTTTTATGTCATTTATTCTCTCTCAAGAATTTTTAAAGTATATATATATTTAAATCAGATTTTCTTTTGTAATATTTCACTATATTTATAGTGTGATAATTGTGTAGTCAAAGCCTCCAAAAAAAGTAAAACAAAATGAAAGTCAAAGTTAAATTAGGGGCATTCTAAGTGTGTGGTTAGACAGAATGCATAAATGTCATCAAGTGTGGGAAAGAAAGTCATAATGGGAGTGACTGACCCTCCTGGTGTAGAGAGTGGATCCCAGGATATATAACCCTGAATTCTAAAGTTTAATATTCAGTATATAACTTTGAAATATCTTTTATATGTTTCCATTAGCAACTGGTAAATTACATCTGTACCAAGAAATTTCACTTCTTTTTTTTTGTTTAAATAGGCATTTTGGCCATTGTTCAGAACAGATGACCTAAGACTTTTTCCAAGAACCTTTTGCCAATAAAGAGTACAGACTATCATCAATCCACTGCATTAAGCATCATAACTCAAGCTGTTATTCTCAAGTAAAATTTGACCTTGTCCTAGTTTATCATCACCTTTTCTCACTCCAGTGTCATATTCTAAACTTTGTCTATAGCTAAGAATTATTCTAAATTAGAACTGGTTTTGAGTAAATGCCATCTTGTTGGGGTTTTTTTCTTCAAGGATAACTTCAACTCAGTCTATAAAATTAATAATTATTGCTCTGAGAATAAAGGGAAATACTTTTAGCTATAAGAATTTGAAAATCAGAAATGCATCACTAAAAAATGACTTAAATACATTGAATTTTTTTAACTTTATAAATGTTGACATTTCTGGTACACTTTAGATCAATACTTAACCTTTTGATTTTATGGTATTCAAAATATTTAAGCTCATAAAATGATTCTTCTGTAAAAGCCCATAGACTGCAATTCAACACCCCCTGCAACATCTATCTATCTATCTATCTATCTATCTATCTATCTATACCTATATATCTATATCTAGAGAGAGAGAGAGAGAGAGAGAGAGAGAGAGAGAGACTCTAACATGAAAAAAACAAAACAGGGCTGGATCATACGAGCTATTTTTTAAAAATGTGTTTTTATTTATTTTGAAAGAGAGAGTGAGATGGAGAGGGTAGAGACAGAGGGAAAGAGAATGCAAAGCAGGCTCTGCACAGATGCTTAACTGACTAAGCCCCCTAGAAGCCCCCAATAAGATTCCTTCTGTCACTTACTTTTTTACCCCATCCAGTGAAACCATTCATACCAGAAAATTGTTGTTCCTCACTTTCCGTGCTGGCATAGTAAAACTTCAAATGCTCCCATGTATTAGATCCCTCCAAATGTTCATTTCCCCTAGTTTTTTTTTTTTTTTTTTAAGTTTTTTTGAGTGACCAAGAATGGGGCCTACTGATAATTTTGTTGAAAATGCTAGAATTTGAAATCATTTTAACACATTCCCATAATCAGCTAGAAGTGTTTGATTGAAGCCTATAAATAGAGATGACATTTTAAAGGCTTTTTAAAGGGCTTGAGTCATATTCTTTATTATAGTAAGTAATTTCCAGGTTAAAAAGAACCAGCTGAAGAGACTGGCCCACTTCAGTGCATGGTTAAGGCAAATTTTAGAACTCAGACATGTAAGTTATTGTTATTTTTATTTGGCATCTTTAAAAAATAAGAAGACATGCCAAACAATATTCAGGAAAGTCTAAAATGTGGTAAAAGGAGACATGTAGAAAATTTAGCAAAACAACTTTAAAAAAGATTATGCTATGGTTGACCCAACTGTACAATTAATGTTATATGGGAAGACTATCTAATGCACATTTGTTTGGGGACTGCTGACTTGATACATCGATTCTACGTACTTCTCCAGGCAATGCTGGAGAATAATAACATCATTGAAAGCTTATAATTTAAACCTTGCTTTGGTTTCTTAGTGATCCTTTTGGACTTACTACATGTCCATTCTTGTCTACTACCTGTGTAAGTTCTCCTTGTTAAAGACCGGAGAACGAGGAAGTGTAGGTGACACCAGCAAGGTGTATGAATTCATAAAACTCCAGATCCTTTGAAATGCAGTAGGCCAATATCAATAGATTTCTCAGTTGTCAGAGAATCTCTAGTTGAAATGTGACCTCTACTTCCTAGGTCATCTGTTAGCCTGTTTCTCAAGTCCGGTGTTTAGTATTAACATGTATGACTTCTCAGCCATAACTTTTTGACTTCTCAGTTATATTAGATATCCTTCACCATCTCCTTTGTCATTAATGTTTCTCTTCCACAGCCCTAGGCGTCAGTGTGCCATTCTTTCTTGCTTAAGCTCCAATTTATGTGATGACTCTTCTAAATTTTACAAAGTTTACTCTCTCACTTTTTCACTCTCAGTTGCCTCAACCCTTGGTCCCTGAACCCAGAAATATTCACAG